TTTATACCAATCATCGAAATGTAGGACTGGAAGGGACCCTCAGAATGTCATCTAGTCTAGTCCCATGCACTCATGGCAGGACTAAGTATTATCTAGGCCATCCCTGAAAGGTGCTTGTCTAATCTGTCTTAAAAACTGCCGAAGATGCAGGTTCCACAGCATCCCTAGGTAATTTGTTCTAGTATTTAACTACTCTTACAGTTGGGAAGTTTTTCCTAATGTCTCACCTAAATCTCCCTTGCTGCAATTTAAGCCCAGTACTTCTTGGCCTGTCCTCCGTCGATAAGGAAAACAATTGATCACTCTCCTCTAAAGAACCAACTTTTACATACTTGTAGACTGGTCCCACGTCCCCTTTAGCCTTCTCTAGACTAAACACATTTTTTTCGATCTTTCCTAATAGGTCCTGTTTTCTAGACCTTGAATCATTTTTGTTGTGCTCCTCTGGACTTTCTCTAAATTGTCCACATCTTTCTCGAAATGTGGTGCTCAGAACTGGACACACTACTCCAGTCGAGTGATGAGTAGAATGGAAGAATTACCTCTTGTGACTTGTTGACAACAATCTTGCTAATACATACCAGAATGATGTGTCCCCCCCCCCTTTTTTTTTTTGCATAAGAACAGCCATACTGGGTCAAACCAATAGTCCATCTGCCCCAGGATCCTGTCTTCTGACAGAGGCCAATGCTAGATGCTGCAGAGGGAATGAACAGAACAGGCAATCATCGAGTGACCCATCCCATCATCCACTCCCAGCTTCTGGCAAGCATAGGATAGGGACACTCAGAGCACAGGGTTGCATCCCTGAACATCTTGACTAATAGCCACTGATGGACCAATCCTCAATGACAGTATTATACTGTTGACTCATATGTAGTTTTTGATCCACTAGAGCCACCAGATCCCTTTCTGCATTTCTTCCTAGGCAGTCATTTTTCATTTTATATTTGTTCAACTGGTTATTCCTTCTTAAGTGTAGTACTTTGCATTTATCCTTATTGAATTTCACCTTATTTATTTCCAGTATGTCAAGATCATTTTGAATTCTAAGCCTGTCTTCCAAAGTGCTTGCAACCCTTCCAGCTTGGTATCACCTACAAATCCTGTAAGTTGTATCCTCTGTGCCAGTGGTTCTCAAAATTAGCAATCCAAGGACCCACATTTTAGGCCCAGGCCCCGCTCCATCTCTATCCCAACTATTCCCACCCCACTACACACGTGCCCCTTCTTCCTCTTACCCGCCCCCTCCTCCTCCCTCCCAGAACCTCCTGCACACCACTGAACAGCTGTTCCACGGCATGCAGGAGGCACTGGGAGGGAGGGGGAGGTGTTGATCAGCGGGGCCAGCGGCCCTGGACATGATTCCGCCCCCTCTCCCGAGTGTGCCCTGTCCCCACACCATCCCCTCCCTCCCAGCGCTTCCTGCACGCTGCTGAACAGCTGTTCCCCAGCATGCAGGAGGTGCTGGGAGGGAGGGGGTGGAGTTGAGGGAGGGAGAGGGAGAAGTTGATCAGTGAGGCCTGCGGATCCCCTGGAGTACACTCATAGACCCCCAGGGGTCTTGGACCCCAGTTTGAGAAACATTGTTCTATCCAAATGATTATCCAAATCATTTATGAAGATATTAAATAGAATCTGATCCAGGACAGATGCCTGTGGGACCTCACTCAATATGCCCTTCAAGCTTGACGGTGAATCACTGATAAATACTCTGAGTACTCTTCCCACCAGTTGTGCACCCACTTTACAGTAGGTTCATCTAGGCTGTATTTCCTAAGTTTGCTTATGAGAAGGTCATGTTAGATGGTATCAAAACCCTTACTAAAGTTGAGATATGTAACATTTACTGCTACACCAATGTGAAGCTGGGGTAAGTGAGATTAGAATCAGAACCTTGGTATACAAAATTGTTACATTTCCAGTTAAGCGTTTGAAACATAGATTAATTGTATAAATCCTTATGACTGCCAAAAGGAAAAATATATAATTTACTCCAGTTGTAGAGTATAATATGTTCCATTTGCTCATTCACAAAGGGCTTCAGTTTGGATCAGGAAATAAATTAGACAGTTGTCTTTCTAGAGTACGCAGACTGGATTGTGATCAGTTATTTCTGTTCTCTGTAAAGTTGGGAAAAAGTTCATCTCCAGTCTCAACAATATCTCCAAATACAAAGGGAATTTAACAAGGCCAAAAGAGATGAATTTTCAGTTTGCTCTCAAGAGAATAGGACAAAAAAGTGATGAGGAAAGGAGGAAGTCAAAACATAATTCCACTATATATATACACATTGTAAGTGTTAACTGAGTGTGGAAATCCCTAGCTATTTTCAATCTATATTAAAACCACAAGACAATTACAAAATACAAGCTAGTATAATTTTTTATGTAAATCTTGAATTTATTACTTTTCAATCATTTGAAATATTCTATTTATATTTCTGTAAGAGAATTCTTGTATGTTCATTTCTTTAAAAGTCAGTTTCAGAATTATATGACAGATTAAGCATACTTTATGCTAGGCTAAACTCTTTACAGAAAAAAACTGAGGTTTTGATTTTAAAAATTCCTAATAATAAATACCATCTAGTGGCAAAAGAAATTTAAAAACCACATGACTACAGGTAGGCTTCTATACCCATCTTCAAGCATCTAACTAAAAGGCATGATTTTTTAAATATACTGAACACTCAGCAGTTCCCAAAGATGTCAATGGGAACTTCAGGGTGCTAAGCACTTTTAAAATGCATGCCAGGCATGTAGATAGCAGTTATTTTCATTTATTAATCCTTGCAACAGCTCTCACAGATAGTTATTTCCCCATAACTAAAATGGATAAGGTAACAGACACAGAGAGGTTAAGTAATGTACTAAAGGCTAACACAGCAAGTTACTAGCAGAGCTGTGAATCAGACTCTCCTCAGTTAATTAGACCACACAGCCTCCTAAATAAAATAATGAAGTAGCCTTCAAGATTAATCACCTTTTATGCCACCATTACTTTTCTGTGTGTGTAAAAGAACTTTATTCACAAGCAGACACACATAGAATAAATCAGTCCAAATAGCAGGACTATAGTCCAAATATAGCATATTCGCTTAGGATAGGTTTCAGAGTAGTAGCCTCATTAGTCTGTATCAGCAAAAACAACGAGGAGTCCTTGTGGCACCTTAGAGACTAACAAATTTATTTGGGCGTAAGCTTTCATGGGCTAAACCCCACTTCATCAGATGCATGGAGCGAAAAATACAGTAAGCAGTGTATATATTACAGCACATGAAAAGATGGGAGTTGCCTTACCAAGTTGGGGGGTCAGTGCTAACGAGGCCAATTCAATTAAGGTGGAAGTGGCCTATTCTTAACAGTTGCCACTTCCACCTAATTGAATTGGCCTCGTTAGCACTGACCCCCCAACGTAAGGCAACTCCCATCTTTTCATGTGCTGTAATATATACACTGCTTACTGTATTTTTCGCTCCATGCATCTGATGAAGTGGGTTTTAGCCCACCAAAGCATATGCCCAAATAAATTTGTTAGTCCCTAAGGTGCCACAAGGACTCCTCATTGTATTTGCTTAGGATAATTACCTTTTAACTTCAGATTGCACTTATACAATAGCTACTAATTTCTGAGGGTCAAAATCTGCACTATGATGTACCATTGCCCAATATCATAAGTACATTATAAATACAAAAATAAAGCTTTTAAAATATTTTAGTAATGCAATCTATGCAACATGCTCCCCTAGAGTAAAAAACTAGAAATCCTGTGATAATATCTTTTCAGGAAAGCCAGCATACTGTCATATCAATGCTGTGCTCTTTTCCCTGCTTTCAAACAGAATACTTAAATGTTTAAAAATGTTATAACCCACAATAATCTGTTCCAGGCACCAATGAAAAGGAAGAAAAAAATTACAGAAGTCAAGATGTCGCCTGGAAGCACTTTATGGCAAACATTATAAAGATAACACAGAGCAGAAAAGCCCTAGTTCAATCCATTATAAATACCCCATTCTTCTTAAAATCACAAAAATGTATTTATACTTAAGAACTCTTACATGCTTTTTCCTTAAAAGACTTCATTTAAGTACAATTTGGCAGGATTTTTGGAACAAGAAAAGAAGAATTTTATAAAATATTGATGTTTTAAAGTCACCCTAGTTTTGATCTATTTGCTATGAAAACAAAAGCAGGGAGTTTGGAAGATGACCACATCCGTGTTCATTAATTATAATTTGGTTCCTGACTTTGTCCCAGAAAGTGCTCCAGCAGCTCTATTCAGCTTTAACACTGTATCATCATGAAGACAATTAAATCCTGTTGAAAAAAAGTAGGATTATTTTCTACAATTTACTAATGCACGTATATTGTAATGTTTAAGAGAGGGAAACAAACAGTAATCTTATTAAGTGTAAAAACCTAGGTCTAAGGGAACATTAAGGTTGCAAAAATCGAACACCTGAAAACTAGACAATTCCCAAAGTTAACGTTCATCCGGTAACATTAATAGAAGCACATTGCAGAGTTGGTTGAAATTGGAATTTACCTTCCATGGGAAATTCTGACATTTAAAAATTTCCTTTTGTCACAAACCAGAACAAAAAGCCAAAATTCCAGAAAGTCTCCACCACTTTTCTTTTATTTTCTTTCCAAATATCAAAGTGACGTTATCAAAGCTTGATTCTGACTTAATTGCTTCATTTTTTTAATATAAAAATCAAAATGATAAAGTTGAAATAAAGTGCTTCAACCTTACTGAAACAAAATATTCTGATCATTATCAGCTTTGTATATTTCATGGTATACAATAATATAAAAATAATATGCTAGTTTCCATTTAAAAACGGAAGGAAGAGTAGAAAATGCTATATATGCACAACATATCTAAGAATCTTTACTTTTTGTAATTTCCTAATATCTCCATGCTTTATACTGTAGCCATACCAATATAACAGCAGTAGTTCTTTGTATTTAATTTCCTGTTTTATTCTACAGGATAAAACCAAAAAGTGACAAAGAAGATAAATGTCTTGCTCACACAGAGCCCAGCTGGAGTCAACAGGGAGCTACGCAAGTGCAACAATTTACCCATGTGCTGTCAATTGCAGAACTGAGGCCCACAATACCTCCCACCACCAATCACATGCGGAGTATTCTGATCCTCCTGTAACCAGCAATCGCCATACTTTCTACAACAACAAAATGCTCAGGAGAGCTTTGCAAAGAATTCAGACCAAAAATTCATTACAATTTCAACTCAAAGAAATAAAAACAGACTTCCCTGAACCAACCTGACATGCATTTTAGTAAGTGGATTTAGTAGAACGTCAACATTTAAACTGCATTTAATGAATATTTGAATTCGGACTTGTGATTTCAGTTTACAAATTTTCAGTTGTACAAGCTTGGCTGAATGAAATCAATGCATCAAATGTTTGCTTTTAGGGTGTTTATTTTTTCACAGAGTTCACTTTGCATTGCTGTCTGAATCTTATTTAGCAGTGCAACAAATTCTTGTATATATTACAACATTTTGGGGAACACATGAGCTCTGTTTTCATAGTTATTGTATATCTACAATATGTGATTTGAAGCAATATCTCTGGAAAGTCTTAATTCCTCTAGCTATTCTAGCACCGAGTATAAAAAAATAATGTTCTGAGGGCTCAAAAATTAAAAAATATATACCTAAGCAAACACATATACAAGAAGTTTTATTCCCAGCTGTGAAGTGCATTACGAAGCACATGGCTGAGGGTCAAGTATCTGCTGCAGTTAAGTATTTTCTCTCAACAATTCCACACACTGTAGAGTTTCTTTTATATGTAGGAGTAAATAAACCATTCCCAGAAGTTTTAATTTAATCCTTATTACTTTTATTATTAAAATCAATATTTCTGTGGTCACAGTAGAAAGATGAGGTACGTGCAATTTGTCAAGAATCTGCCGACATGTGCTGCAGCCAGACCAACATCAACACATGCCCAGTAGGAAGTAGTCTTGCAGGTTATTGCACTGTTGAGCTAAGACTCACACAAACTCTGCTAGTCTCCTTCACTCCATATCTAATCCTTGGTCCTGTCCTGACACACAGGCCAGCCGACCAATCACCACTCGGTCCAAAGGCCTAAATATAGGTATGCACAGTATCCCCACAACACTCCACACTGCCAATCTCATATTGAGTATTCTGGTACTCCTGTATCCAACTATCAGCCTCTAACGGTCAGCTCTTTTATAATTCAGGGGAGCAATAACTGACATCCTCCGAAGCACACTAGGTTTGAGAGGATGCTGAGTGGTGTTTAACTGCCTCCTTGACAAGGACTAACTTGCCAGACCATGCAGAGGTTGTGATGATATAATCTCAGAAAGGATAAAAGACAAGAATTCATGAGCAGAACACAATTACAAAAACAACAAACATGACTGAGCATACACAGAACACAACCACAGAACCCAGAGCACCATACATGGAAAAGCTGACAACCAAGCAGCATGGGCAAGAGGCAGGACCATAGCCCCAAACCGGACCTTATGGAAATCAGGAAGCCTTTCTATCTGCTCAATATAGTAGACTTCCAATCAAGGGGCATTAACCAGTGACGTCACCACCATGGCCAAGCTCATCAGACAGATTTCCCCATCAAAACCTGAAAAGAAAGCCATTGGTCTGCATGCTAATCCTCCTGGTGAGGACTAATCAAGGCAGTACAGCCAATGAATGCAGTACCAAATCACCCACTGTCTCAAGTCAGGGAGGTAGGGGAGAGGGACAATAAAGGAGTTTTCTCTCCCGCTCTCCATCCTCCCATTGGCCCAGACAAGCAATGCCTGGCTTCATGGGCTGAGCTGAATTACCCCAGGAAAAGTGATGTTTTCCATTCACTGAAGCAATTCTAAGGTAAATATGCAAAAAATAAAAGTGATCAGAGTTACTTGTTATAGAAAGTAATTGTTGTTTCCATTCATGCGACAGCCATTGGAACTTCATATACTTTTCTTTCCACCTCTGCATCAGAAGCCACAGGTGCTCTGCTGTGGAGGCAATACAGAGGCACTCTTAATTTCTCCTGTTACCACGGAGCTTGTCAGATAACAGCTTCAGGAAGTAGTGTAGTAGTGAGTTTAGTTTATTTAAAAAAAAAAAAAAAAGGCTGGCTCCATTTCTCTGTCCAGTCACAGCCATTACTTCTTAGAACTCCAGCCTGGCATCAATGATACACAGGCAACGGTTTCATGACTGGGTGATTTGTGAGGTTTACTTAAGCTCTGCTTCCTTGAAAATGTGTGGCATCATACCAGAGTTTATTTAGACCTAATTCTCTTGGTCATAACATGTAAGTTTATTGTTTATGATTTACTTGGATAGCCTTCTTGGGTAAAGGTAAAAGCAAGTGGGTGACAATTTACAACATATTCCAAGGCAGGTAATAAGACGCATGTGGTTGGACAGTTGCAAATACAAAATCCCCTAGTTTAGTAGTTCATGGACACCAATGGTTTCTGGAGCATGTTGCTGGTAGTGCATTGAGAGATGGATGGTAACATGGTGCTGGCTCTCCTCGTTTCCAGCTGATACATCATATGTAATGTATTTTAGCTTTACTTAATATTTTCCTGTTATTACTAAATGTAGGCAATTACTGTGCTTGCTACAAGGAGGTTATTCAGTTGCCAACGGCAGGGGAAGTGGTCCTTATAGCTGTGAATGGGAAAAGAGACTCTACAAGACAACCTCCTTATTATGATGTAATTCATACCTAAAAAAGTTTGAGAACCTTGTTTTAGCACTTTTATTTATTCCCCCTTCAATGTAATTATGTTCTTTGGTTTTTCATTGAAAGATCTGCTGACATGTTGACCATCATTACAGAACACAAAGAAAAATGTGATAAAATAAATGAGAATAAGAATTAAACTTCTTGACCTATTGCCATAGGTGGGGAAAAGCTCCAAGTCATATTCTTTCCTAGCTAGGTCTCTCTCAGTAGCTGGACACAAAGGAGAGATGCATATTCATTGAGATCAAATATGTGTGGGTGATATTGGCTCAGTTCTTTTCTAGGTTTATAAAATATTAGTCCAGTGATTCTCAAACTTTTGTACTGGTGACCCCTTTCACATAGCAAGCCTCTGAGTGCCACCTCCCCTTATAAATTAAGAACACTTTTTTTGTATATTTAACACCATTGTAAATGCTGGAGGCAAAGCGGAGTTTAGGGTGGAGGCTCACAGATTCCGCCCCCCCCCATTGTAATAACCTCACGACCCCCTGAGGGGTCCTGACCCCCAAGTTGAGAACTCCAGTATTAGTAGATCACAGATTTACAAGTGAAGCTCAAGATCACTCATGATAAAACAAACAGGAGGACACAGCTGATGCCTGCACAGCTGGAACATCAATCCAAGAAAAGGAACTAGAATCATAGTCATTCAGTAAGAGGAAAGCTGTATTTCTTAAAGGATTGAATGTTATATGACAATTTTATAACAGCAGCATCTAGAAAATTGTCACAACTCACAATATGCTTCCTACTCGAGCAATTCTTTTAGGCTCCAATTCAATAGTTTTTAAGATCCAAATTCTCTTAACATGCACATAGAGTTTGTCCAGAATTTGGATAATGGAATGGAGAGTATGCTTATAAAATCTGTGGATGACACCACACTGGGAGGTTGCAAGCACTTTGGAGGACAGAATTAGACTTCAAAATGACCTTGGCTGAAATCAGGAAGGTGAAATTCACTCAAGCCAAATGCAAAGTGCTACACTTATGAAGGAAAAATCAAATTCCCAACTACAAAATGGGGAATAACCAGCTAAGTAATAGTACTGCTGAAAAGGATCTGAGGACTATAGTGGATCACAAACTGAATGAGAGTCAACAACATGCTGCATTTGCAAAAAAAGCTAATATTGTTCTGGGGCGTATTAACAGTCATATCATATAAAAGACTCAGGAGGTAACTGTCCCGCTCTACTCAGCAGTGGTGAGGCCTCAGCTGGAGTACTGTGACCACTTCTGGGCACCACACTTGAGAAAAGATGTGGACAAATTAAAGAGAGTCCAAAGGAGAGCAACAAAAATGACAGTTTAGAAAACCTGACCTAGGAGGAAAGATTTAAAAAACTGGGCAAGTTTAGTCTTGAGAAAAGACAACTATGGGGGGAAACTCAAGGTTCCTCCCCCACTCTGAACTCTAGGGTACAGATGTGGGGACCTGCATGAAAAAACCTCCTAAGCTTATCTTTACCAGCTTAGGTCAAAACTTCCCCAAGGTACAAAATATTACACCCGTTATCCTTGGAATGGCCGCTACCACCACCAAACAATTACTGGTTACTGGGGAAGAGCTGTTTGGACGCGTCTGTCCCCCCAAAATACTTCCCAAAACCTTGCACCCCACTTCCTGGACAAGGTTTGGTAAAAAGCCTCACCAATTTGCCTAGGTGACTACAGACCCAGACCCTTGGATCTTAAGAACAATGAACAATCCTCCCAACACTTGCACCCCCCCTTTCCTGGGAAATGTTGGATAAAAAGCCTCACCAATTTGCATAGGTGACCACAGACCCAAACCCTTGGATCTAAGAACAATGAAAAAAGCAGTCAGTTTTTTACAAGAAGACTTTTAATAAAAAATAGAAGTAAATAGAAATAAAGAAATCCCCCCTGTAAAATCAGGATGGTAGATATCTTACAGGGTAATTAGATTCAAAAACATAGAGAACCCCTCTAGGCAAAACCTTAAGTTACAAAAAAGATGCACAGACAGAAATAGTTATTCTATTCAGCACAATGCTTTTCTCAGCCATTTAAAGGAATCATAATCTAACACATACCTAGCTAGATTACTTACTAAAAGTTCTAAGACTCCATTCCTGTTCTGTCTCTGGCAAGAGCAGCACACAGACAGACCCAAACCCTTTGTCCCTTTTCCTCCTCCCAGCTTTTGAAAGTATCTTGTCTCCTCATTGGTCATTTTGGTCAGGTGCCAGCGAGGTTACCTTTAGCTTCTTAACCCTTTACAGGTGAGAGGAGCTTTCCCCTGGCCAGGAGGGATTTCAAAGGGGTTTACCCTTCCCTTTATATTTATGACAGTCCAGAATTTGGATAATGGAATGGAGAGTATGCTTATAAAATCTGTGGATGACACCACACTGGGAGGTTGCAAGCACTTTGGAGGACAGAATTAGACTTCAAAATGACCTTGGCTGAAATCAGGAAGGTGAAATTCACTCAAGCCAAATGCAAAGTGCTACACTTATGAAGGAAAAATCAAATTCCCAACTACAAAATGGGGAATAACCAGCTAAGTAATAGTACTGCTGAAAAGGATCTGAGGACTATAGTGGATCACAAACTGAATGAGAGTCAACAACATGCTGCATTTGCAAAAAAAGCTAATATTGTTCTGGGGCGTATTAACAGTCATATCATATAAAAGACTCAGGAGGTAACTGTCCCGCTCTACTCAGCAGTGGTGAGGCCTCAGCTGGAGTACTGTGACCACTTCTGGGCACCACACTTGAGAAAAGATGTGGACAAATTAAAGAGAGTCCAAAGGAGAGCAACAAAAATGACAGTTTAGAAAACCTGACCTAGGAGGAAAGATTTAAAAAACTGGGCAAGTTTAGTCTTGAGAAAAGACAACTATGGGGGGAAACTAATAATATTTTTCAAATATATTAAGGGCTGCTATAAATTGTTCTCCATGTCCACTGAAGATAGAAGAAGGTGCCATGAGCTTACTCTGCAGCAAAGGAGATTTAAGTTAGATATTAGGGAAAAAATTCCAACTATTATGGTAGTTAAGCTCTGGAATAAGCTTCCAAGGGTGTTTGTGGAACTCCCTTCGTTGGAGGCTTTTAAGAACAGACTGGACAAACATCTGGTAGGTTTATTTGGCCCTGCCTCATTGATTCTATATCCACTTACTGCATATTCTCCTACCTTCATGTTGCCTAAAAGGAATCTGAGGAGGTACATCAAGTTAACTGAAGGCAAGTCGCAGAAATGGAGTTAGAGCCTATAGAAACATTTGCAATACAAAAACAGGTTCATTGTTCCATTGCCAAACTATTTGCGATTATATTACCAAATTCTGCACTTACGTACACCCATGAAACTACACTGAATTAAACATGATTGCAAAGATGTAACTAAGGAAAGAATTCTGCCCATGAAGCTCACATGTACGCTCTACATTTTAAATTAATTAATTTACACATTAAAAACATAGAGTAAAGGAATATTAAGGCTGCAATCAAGTACTCAAAAGATAGGAAATGGCAGAATTAAGGCTGCCTATGCAAACTTAGTTCAGCCTCCTGCATTTTGATGCATTCTTTATTTCCATGATCACAAACTATTTTTTCCACAGGATCCCTGCCTCATTCAGGGCACAGAATGGACTGTGCTCACTTAATGAGCAGTTATTCAAAATTACCTTTTCTTCTGTTGTTCAGTGTGTGGACCCAGGATTTATTTGGTGGAAACTAACCAAACCATGCTCTGAAGAAAGAATTATTACTTTCTTCATAGGTGTTTCTATAGCATTTATTACCAATTTCCCTTATTTTACAGATTGGGAACTAAGGCCAGAGATTAAATTCAAAATCTCCAGTAATTCCAGGTGCCCAATTTGACACACCTGGAACCTGATTTTTTCAGAGTAGTTAGCATTATATAGCATTTTACATATTCAAAGCACAGTTTCCACCCCATGGTCTCAAATCAGGCACCCCAGGAAAAAAAAAGGAACACACAACTAGTGACACCTCTGAAAATGACTTGCCTAGCATCACACAAGACCTGTGGCGCAGAGGCAGGGACAGAATCTAGTTTTGCACGGCAGCATTCAACTGCCTTAACGATGAGATCATGCTTTCTCTTCCTACAATTCCCTATCTCATTCACTACTCACCTTCTAACTTCTACAACAAATGAGGCAAGGGTCCACAGCCTTCTTCACTACACAGTCCTGATTCATTGCCAGAGCAGGTCCATCCTGGCAATGAATGAGGCAGGGGTTCCATGGAAAGATAGTATGTAACCCTGTAATTAAAGACTGTATCATAATGCATATGCATGAAGGGGACAAATTAAGGTTGCACACTTCTGGTTGCTTGACTTTGCACCTTAATATTCTTTTAAAGTAGTTTGTGTGTGAGTGCAGGTTTTTTAAAAAGCAAACTGAAAAAAAAACAAATTGCCCATTATGATGTCACATGATGCAATCAGCAGGGTTGGAACCTCTGGGTCCACCTGAAACAACAAGTAACTGATAGCAATATGAGGTTGTCATCCTCTATATGGACCACACAGAGGAATGGGGGCACTTTGCCAGAGGGTTTCAGAGATATCAGCTGAAATCAGAGGAATGGTGAGGCTCAGGAATCTTGGGTTTCATGCCAGGCTCTGGAGGGGTGTGCGCACGAGCTGGCCCATTCACCTCAAACTTGTACTTTTCTGTCCTATCTCCTCCACACTGCCTCTGCCCCATCTCCTTGACCCAGTCCTATTCTCTTCACTTAATCAACTCTCAGTCTCTACTCCTCAGGCTTCTCATCACAGTCCATCTCCTTGTCCAAGTTCTAACATCCTCTACAGACTCCGATCCCAATCCCTGCTCCCAGGCTCTTTGTCTAGCCTGTCCCAGTCCCACACAACATATTTTTCCCCAGCCTCATTCTTGGAAACAGCTGAACCTTTCTGGCTGAAATTTTCCTAAAAAATTCAGTCTGAGAGACACCCAAACATGGCAAATTTCAGCCAAAACACGTATGTTTGACAAAGTTATAAGCAACT